GGCCCAGTTGAATGTGCAGCTGCATAGTTGGGGAGAGCTGGCACAAGGGAAGAGTAGGCCATGCGGTGGATAACATGCCTCCCCCCTTGTGACAGAAGTGCGTTCTGTGAGAACATACCATAAAGATGGAATTTTTGAAGAATTATATACTCTCACTGATGTCATCAGTTAAAACCTCCTTGAGAACAGAATTATGGCAGTTTAATAATTTCTGTAAATCACACTTTTAAGGACTATCTGCCTTAATTCTCATATTTGCAAATGAGACTATCATTGCATGTGGAACCAAGCCATAGTTCACATTTTTAACCCGCACACAGAGTCCATAAAAAAGAATGCTACATCAAAACACTGTATTAAGTGGCTGAGAGACTGAAATAGGTGGATTTTTTTTTTCCCCCCTGAAAAGCAAGGATGGAGGAAGGGGAACAACTTGGAGTGTTAGTTTGTTCAGGTGAAATCCTGATGGGTTTGGCAGAGTGAAATTACTTTCAGAGCCTTAAGAAATCTTCTGTAATATGGCGTTCATATTTTCTGGCCTGCTAAAGAAATGGCGTAACATAGGAACATTGAAAATACTAACTCTTGAGGAGGATGTAGTTGCACACCTATTTAAGGAGGGAGTATTTACAATAAGGTCTTTACTCACTAAAACCTGAGGTAGAGGAAGCATGTCCATATGTGGTCAGCAATTTAGGTATTAAAAGAAGGAAGGAACGTAGTTCTGAACCTTTATTTTCAATGGCCTCTGTCTGGATGAGGACAATTTTGTGCTTTAGTATTGGATTTGTGGATCTGGGTGCAGAAAGAAATACTTTGTTTTTTGTTGTTCATCCATTTTTCCCAAGGTTATGAAAATTTGTAAATATTTCTCCACTCTCCCACTCTGCTCCAGTGCTTTTCATCTTGCTTGGTAGTTGTTGTACAGTTCATTTATTCCGTGTTACTTAATGTTCCACTTTTACTTTTGGCGGACATGCTGGGGACAACAGTGACTTCTAGTAGTAGTTAACTTTAAAAGTGGCATTTGCCACAACATAAAAGTCTTTTACAGTTATGTAAATTAAATGAAGCAAAACCTTTGGTGAGGAGAAATAGGTACCATGGAATTATTTATAAAGTATGAATTTATACAATGGTTTGGATTGATGTTTGGTTTTCAAATTCTAAAAAAGAGCAAAAGATTAAACGGATTTGTATAACTATTGTAAATATTTGTCCAATACACCAGTGTGTTTAGTATGTGTGAAGTATTTAGTAATGGTGACGCCAAGTCTTTCACTTTAATTTTACAGGCTTGCAACCATTTAGACAAATTTTCTCTCTTGGGCTGAATTTTTCTAGGGCACCTGGTCAAAAATCATTCAACACATTCAGAAAATATTCCTTGTGTAAATTAACAATATTTAAAAAGAAAACTGACCCCTTTCAAGTAGGTCAACTGAATGTTTGAATGCTGTAAGAAGTTTAAATGTACAGCGAAAATGGAGTTGCAAGATATTCTAGAGAGAAAGAAAACACATACACAAAATGCATGGATAAGGAGAGGATGGTGCACATGAGTCTCTTCACAGATTCACAGAAGTTAGGAGAGCCTTGAGACAAATTTACGGTCCTCCTGTAGGACAGACACTGCAGTGGAACAGATTTCTGGGGTACTCAGACCTTTGCACAATTTTGTCCAGGAATCTTACCTAGGAATTAAAACCAGGATTGCCAGATGATGGAGGCAGAACCAGCTGTGTTCCTACACAGGAGAAATTATTGGCAGTTATTCTCCTGGAGGGAAGCCTTTTAGAATCATAGAATCATTTAGGTTGGAAAAGACCTTTAAGATCATCAAGTCCAACCGTTAACCTAGCACTGCCAAGTCTACCACTAAACCATGTCCTTAAGCACCACATCTCCTCCCCTGGTGCAACTTGAGGCCATTTCCTCTTGTCCTAGCACTTGTTACTTGGGAGAAGAGACCGACCCCCACCTCACTACAACCTCCTTTCAGGTAGTTGTAGAAAGCAATAAGGTCTCCCCTGAGCCTCCTTTTCTCCAGACTAAACAACCTCAGCTTCCTCAGCTCCTCCTCATAAGACTTGTGCTCCAGACCCTTCACCAGCTTTGTTGCCCTTCTTTGGACACACTCCAACACCTCAATGTCCTTCTTGTAGTGAGGGGCCCAAAACTGAACACCGTATTCAAGGTGCGGCCTCACCAGTGCCGAGTCCAGGGGTATGATTGCTTCCCTGGTCCTGATGGCTACACTGTTTCTGATACAAGCCAGTGTGTTATTGGCCTTCTTGGCCACCTGAGCACACTGCTGGCTCATGTTCAGGCGGCTGTCAACCAACACCCCCAGGTCCTTTTCCTTTGGGCAACTCTCCAGCCACTCCTCCCCAGGCCTGTAGCGTTGCATGGGGTTGTTGTGACCCAAGTGCAGGACCCGGCGCTTGGCCTTGTTGAACCTCATACACTTGGCCTCGACCCATCAATTCAGTCTGTTCAGATCCCTCTATAGGGCCTTCCTACCCTCCAGCAGATCGACACTCCCACCCAACTTGGTGTCATCTGCAAACTTACTGAGGGGGCACTCAATCCCCTCATTCAGATCATCGATAAAGATATTGAACAGAACTGGCCCCAGTACTGAGCCCTGGGGAACACCACTTGTGACCAGCCACCAACTGGATTTAACTCCATTCACCACCACTCTTTGGGACCAGCCATCCAGCTAGTCTTTTACCCAGCAAAGAGTACGCCTGCCCAAGCCATGAGCAGCCAGTTTCTCCAGGAGAATGCTGTGGGAAACTGTGTCAAAGGCTTTACTGAAGTCTAGGTAAACATCCACAGCCTTCCCCTCACCCACTAAGCGGGTCACCTTGTCATAGAAGGAGATCAGGTTAGTCAAGCAGGACCTGCCTTTCATAAACCCACGGTGACTGCGCCTGATCCCCTGGTTGTCCTGTATATGCAGTGTGATGGCACTCAGGATGATCTGCTCCATAACCTTCCCCAGCACCGAGGTCAGGCTGACAGGCCTGTAGTTCCCCGGATCCTCTAGCTGACCCTTCTTGTAGATGGCTGTCACATTTGCTAACTTCCAGTCAACTGGGACCTCTCTGGTTAGCCAGGACTGCTGATAGATGATGGAAACTGGCTTGGTGAGCACATCTGCCAGCTCCCTCAGTACCCTTGGGTGGATCCCATCCCGTCCCATAGGACTGTGTGTGTCTAAGTGGTGTAGCAGGTCACTGACCATTTCCCCTTGGATTATGGGGGCTTCATTCTTCTCCCTGTCCCTGTCTTCCAGCTCAGGGTGCTAGGTACCCCGAGAACAACTGGTCTGACTATTAAAAACTGAGGCAAAGAAGGCATTAAGTACCTCAGCCTTTTCCTCATCCTTTGTCCCTATGTTTCCCCCACATCCAATAATGGATATAGATTCTCCTTAGCCCTCCTTTTGTTGCTAATGTACTTATAGAAACATTTTTTGTTGTTTTTTTTATGGCAGTAGCCAGATTAAGTTCTAGTTGGGCTTTGGCCCTTCTAATTTTCTCCCTGCATAACCTCACAACATCCTTATAGTTCTCCTGAGTTGTCTGCCCCTTCTCCCAAAGGTCATAAATTCTCCTTTTTTTTCCTGAGTTCCAGCCAAGGCTCTCTGTTCAGCCAGGCTGGTCTTCTTCCCCACCGGCTTGTCTTTTGGCACATGGGGGCAGCTTGCTCCTGTGCCTGTAAGATTTCCTTCTTGAAGAATGTCCAGCCTCCCTGGACTCCTTTGCCCTTCAGGACTGCCTCCCAAGGGACTCTGTCAACCAGGCCCCTAAACAGGCCAAAGTCTGCCCTCCAGAAGTCCAAGGTAGTGGTTCTGCTGACCCCCCTCCTTACTTCTCTGAGAATCAAAAACTCTGTCATTTCATGATCACTATGCCCAAGACGGCCTCCAGCCATCACATCACCCACCAGGCCTTCTCTGTGAATTCCCCCATGAAAACAAGGGCTAGCAATTGTGAGACTTCTCCCAGCTGCTTATAGAATACTTCGTCTGCCTCTTCATCCTGGTTGGGTGGTCTATAACAGACTCCCACCATGATATCTGCCTTGTTGGCCCTCCCCCTGATTCTTACCCATAAGCACTCAACCCTTTTAAAAGAGTTCTTCATACAGTTTAGTGAAGACAGGGTTGCAATGCCAGTATGGATTCCCCTGATAATGTCTGGCATTACTACTGTGCAATTCTGTTCCAGGAATGAACACTGGTAGCATGAGTTAGTCGATGCTTTGATTGCGAGTGAAAGGTTATAAAGGCAATAAGGACCATGGGGAAAAAGTGCTGAATTTTCACACTTGAGTGAGTACCAATATGAAGAGTTGTGGTTTTCCTTGCGTTTATAAGCCTGCTTTTATTTCAAAAGGGTTTGATACATGTAACTGGGAGTGGAGTTTGACTCCAAATATCATTTTAAGAATTATGCTGCGTCAGTGATCTGACAATGCACTGGAAAGGTTAAGTTGAGTGCAGATCGTTTAGCTTTGGAATGATGATTAATTTCAAGTGATATAAGTTATGACCACAAGTTTCAATTATTTACTGAAAAAGCCAACAAATCTCATGGGAACTCTACAAAGTAAAATAAAATCAGTTGACTGTGATTTTGTTTCCAAATGAACTAATCAGGTGATTGTGACCTTGACACAGGGTCTCTCCTCCAGCTCTCCCCTCCCCTCTCCTACGTACGGAACTGACATGCTCATTTGTCCACTTGAGAAGTCCTTGATACTGTTCATATTTAACATCGTTATCAAAGGTCCTTCACTTTCAGGCTTAGCCATTAAAATACATGAGATGGGAAATGCTGACATGATAGTTTTGCAAATGTTATCTGAGAGGTTTGCATATATTATTAAATCTCTTAATGAAGATGATGAAGATTCAGCCTATTAACAGCTCAGAATTAGGTATATTGCTGCATTAATTCTTGTTCCTCTTTTCTTTGATATTTCAGTGCTACGGCTATTGAAGGATGGTGCCGACCCTCATACGCTTGTTTCCTCAGGAGGCTCCTTGCTCCATCTGGTAAGAGTGATTGAAAATTAGTGTTAGTGACTGTGGATAAATATGGTGGGATACTGAGTAGCAGATTGGGCATATTAACAAAAAGAAAGGCCTAGCAATTGATATGATTGCATCCAGCTATGCGTGTGAAATAAGTGGTTGTTTTCAAATTGCTTACAGAAGGATGGATCATGCCATAGGAATGGTAACTAAAAGAGTAGAATGAAATGTTTTATTTATAAATTATCTGTGCAGTAATAAAGAGCAAAGGAAATATTGCTTGATTCCAAAGATAGAATTATGTTGTTCAGAGATTCACGGGTCCTATATGAAAAACACCATGATGTAATATTTTTCCTTCTGTTTTTGTGCATATTTTCTTGCACCAATTTTCTACATGTGTATATTTAACACATTATCTGTATTTAATTTATCATTATTTGCATAGCAATTTAGATTAAGTAACTGGAACATAAAAGGAAAACAGTTTGTATACAATGACCAAAAGAGAAGCAAGATGTAAGGGCATGTGGAGGAAAGACTGACAGGCAGACAGAAAGAAAATACTGCAGAGGTAAAATTTTGGCTTTGCTGAAGCCAATGGCAAAACTCATCATAAACTGCTAAGTCTTATGATCCTTTACTTTGGTCTGTGATGCTTCAGTTGCAGACATGCTTTCTATTCAACGTGAAACTATTTTAAGATATTTGGATCCAACTTTGTTGCACAATGCTGCTAAAATAAATGTGACTTCACAAATATAAGGGCATAACAGATCTAGTGAAAAGTCTGCTGTCAGTCGTTCGTTTTAGAACAGTTGGATTAAGTTTCTCATAGTATGTACACAAAATATAGAGATTTCTTGATGGAAAAAAAGGATCCTGTAATATTACTGAACTGCAGCACACTTGCCACCATGCTCTTGCAAGACATAGCATTTCCCTTGTGTAATTAATCTGTGTTTTCCATCTTCCATGGCCATGCTGCTTACCAAGGACTTTGGAAAATAGAGGCCTACGTAAGAGGAGGGTGCAGTAATGAGTTGGAACAGAGAAAATTTAAATTGTCTTTTCTCTCCTCCAACTATATGCCTGCTGCAAATGTGCTCAATCACTCTTTAAAAATGCAGCCCATATGAGATGTTATCTTTGGGTTAACTAAAATTGAGGCATCCCAAATCTTACCCTGTGCTGAAAGCCCTAGGAGACAATATGTATGTTCAGTGTGGCTGATGTGACATCTGTCTCACTGGCATTTTAAAATAGAAGAAAAACAGATCCATCTTTAGGGATTTTAGGTTGCTTTATCTAGTCAGCTGATGCACACTTTTTATCTGCAGATAAAATCTGCAGTTGAACTATGTCTTTTTACATTTCTTGATCTTCTGCATTACACCCCAATTCACTGTCACATTCAGTATCTCTTCACTGGTGCCTGCTGCTTCACAGGCACATATATGCTTTAAAAGGAGGGAAAACTTCCTGCAGTAATAAATTTGCAATAGAGAACTGTGTGTAACCTACTGCCTCAGTCTAGTCAGAGATACTTGTAAGTACTCATAATTCATTTACAGGAAAATGCCAGTCCTATTGGAGATAGAGGAAAACCTCATTTCAATGAAACTTGGATTTGACCCTGATTTGGGAGCAGTACAGACAGGGGAGGAGAGTCATGATACAGGGAAACAGATGAGCCAAATTTATTTTCCTGCAAGAACTCAAAATAGTAATTTAGCCTGCATCTTTATTATATTTTTGAAGCCCACTCAGATCCATTCTAAGTACTAGGTTTACCACTATAATTCTATGCAAGCTGCTTTCTCCAAAGGGAAGCCTGATCAGTGTTTATGCTTTCCAGTTGTAGGGTGAATGTGTTTATTCCAGAATGAATGGAAAATATATTTATCTTACATTTTACTTAAAATTTGATTCATTATAGAATTCTTTTTTCTTTTTCCATTTCTGTTAACTTCCAAAATGTGATATATTTCTAAAAAAATTCATATGTGACACTTCATACAGATTCTGTTGCTATCTCTGTAGAGAGTATCCCAATATGGTTGAATCTCAGGGAAGCCATGGGAGCTTCAAAGGTATTCACTGAACTCTCATTAGGCTCCATGAAAGGAGAAGTACCAAAAAAGAGAGTACTTGCCTGAGTTGTCCATTCAGCGGGAAGCACAGTGTCATATCAATTCACACAGGCAGTCACCCAACCTGCCCTAGTAAAAAGTATATGAGTGCCAATTTTCTCCTGAACTTAGAGATTGCCCAATCGCTTCACAAAATCCATTAAACAAGAATCAAGGAGCAGTGGCAATTAAATTGTTGCTACAAATCTAAGCTGTTTTCAGACTCGTAACTAATCACAAAAGGCTCTATATCTATTATTAATACACAAAATGACGCAGTGACATCTGTCATTTGTTTTGTATGGAAGCTCTCTAGAAAATTTTTTGCTTAACACTGCCTTGAAAATGTGATTGGTATGAGATTATGTTGGTCTGTATTATTAAATATCTTATCTCTGATTTGTCAAAATTTGAACATTGAAAAGCTCAATGTAAGTTATACTACTGATACAATGAATGATACTGAGGCAACAAAACAAAACTTCTGTCTGTTTCTAGAGCTTTCAGATAAGCTACAAGCTAAATGAAATATATCAGAACTTAATTTCCGTTCTATAATTTAATGGTCAGTATGTTTGGAAATCATTTAAAGCAGGACTGCTTTTTAGCCTCATAGAGTTTAATTTTCATCTTCCGAGTTTCTACATTTATGATTGCAATAGTACATGCAACTCCTATGTTCAGTTGAATATCTCAGCTATGTCTTGACTTCACAGTGGAATCCAGTTAAGCACTTTTCCTTCTTCCCCTTTTCCTCCAGTGTCCTGGCTTCCATGCCAAATTAATACAGATCAGCAAGCTGGGTGCCATGGTGTGGCTCCACATGCGATACAGACATAACAACAGGATTATTTAACCCTCACTTGCAAATTATCTGCAGATTTCACTATATTTGTACTCTCAGTGTATATGTGTGCTTTTTGGGACAGGGAAATATTACACAGCTTTAAATATTGGAAGAGGCATAGATATTAAGGATCGTATTCAAAGCATCTAAGCATCTAATACAGAAAATTAGTCTCCTTGTAGACTCTCTCCAGTGGGGAAAGAGAGAGGATCCTTCTCTGAAGAATTACTGAGATTGTATGTTTGGCCAGAGTTAGGATATTAAATTAGGTGCCCCAATTGTCTTTTAAAGTATTATCCATAAGCACATCTATAAAAAGTCACAGAAGTGACAGAAGAGTAAGCTCAAAACAATGGCTAAGCTAGTTTCTTCTTCTCTGCCAAAATTAGTGACCTCCGTCATCAAAACAAGACAACGTATGCAAACACACACACACACGTGCAACCCCACCCTCCCCACCCTCAACACACCCTCAGTGTGCAGAGTATCTATCTGTCAGAGACACTTGAATAGGAATCAGTATAGTTAGTGGACTGGAAATAGGAGTGGGTATGGAGAGGCGTATATTATTGCTATGAACTGCATAAAAGGCAGAAGTTCATGTACGTGTGGAGATATGTACATGTGGGTGTACATATACTTAGATGCCACTGCTCATGATGTGATTGTCATGCACTGATGCCTGTGCACTGATTTGGAATGACAATATTGAACAGAAAGAAAGCCTTATCTTTACCATAGATTTCAGCAGATTCCATATAGTGCTTTTTCACAGGGAATAAGGGATTCTGTGAATCATGCACATGGAACTTGTAGTCTCCACAAAGCTATTTCTATAGATTCATCAGCTGTTGTGCCCTACAAACACAGCAGCTTAACTAGAGTGTGTCAACTGCTCAATTTAAATGTTAAATGGAGCAAAAATTGTATGTAATAAATTCAGTTGTACACTGAGTAAAACACCATAGCTAATCTGCTCTTCTTTCTTCTAGTGTGCCCGCTACGATAATGCATTTGCTGCAGAAATTCTAATTGACAGAGGAGTAAATGTAAATCATCAAGATGAGGATTTTTGGACATCAATGCATGTAGCCTGTGCATGTGATAATCCTGATATTGTCCTGCTACTGCTACTAGTAAGTAAAGCAATCATATGCATTGTGTGCTTAAAAAGGAAACAGAATGTAACACCATGAGGTCTGAAACTACTGTATGAATGCAATATATTACTACTGATCATATCAGTGAAAGCATATATTGTGTTTATTTGTTTCTTGACATTGTTTTGGTGCTCAGGATTTTTAGAAGGCATATAGTGAAGCATTTTTAGGCTTTCAATGAGAATACAGTAAAAACATCAATGTCAAGTCTCTCCTATCTCTTCCTTGTGGGCAGGAGCTTATATCTGTGATAAGCACTGAGTCCCAAATGGGATATTCGGATAATTTCTTTTCTCTTCTCCATGTCACCTTCTGTTAAGGACTGAGTTCACAGACAATCTTATCAGAAACTCCTTCTTAAAAGCAAGTATTTGCTCAATTACACTCAGTATTCATAAAGAAGTGTTAGTGGACATGGTCAAAACAAGGCCAATTTAATATTTATCTAAACAACTTTGACTTTTTGGAGCAGAATTTGCCCAATATAGTAATAGATATGACATTCAGCCTTTGTAGAGAACAGCTTTGTTCATGTTGTGCTTCAACTCCTAGGATCACAACCTCTAGTTTTACACCAGGATATTAATGCAGTTCTTTCTCCCAGTTCATTTTATATTGCTCTTTAAAACAGTAGTGCAGAAACAGTTCACAATCTGACTTACAGTTTTCTAATCCATTTGTATAATTTTAAAATTTGTATGTTTTTAATAGGTTGTTGCAAGTAGATCAGCATTTTTTAGCATGCTTATAATGATATTTCAATGTCCCAGGTAAAATGAAGGGAAAAATATTTTTAAAGACTGTATACTTGATAATAGCTTTCATGAAATCACTTCGGAAGATTGTCTAGTCCAATCCTCCTGCTACAGCACCTTGCCCAGGACCATATCTCCAAGGATGGAAAGTCCACAAACTTGCTAGGCAACCTGCACAAAAAAAAAAGGTTTTTATTAGATTTGAACAGAATTACCTGTGTTTCAGTTTGTGCCTACTGTCTTTTGTCCTTTCACTGAGCACGACTGAGATGAGTCTGGCTTCATCTTCTTTACTCCCTTCATCAGGTATTTACGTGCATTGGTAAGACCTGCCTGAGCTTTCTCTTCTCAAGGCTGAAGAGTCCCAGCTCTGTCAGCCTCTCCTGGTACAACAGATGCTCCAGTCCCTTCATTATCTTTGTAGCCCCTTTGCAGGTCTCACTCCAGTATGTCCATGTCTGTCTTTTACTGGGGAGCCTGCAACTGGTGCCTCAACAGTATTGGGCTCTCACCAGTGCTTAGGCCTGCTGGTAATGCAGTCCAAGAAATCTATGGCCCTCTTTGCTGCAAGGTCGCGTTGTTGACTCATGCTCAACTTGTTGTCCTCCAGGTCCTAGTCCCAGAATTATTTTCTGTGGGAAGCAGTCTAGTTAGACGGTAGGAAATACTAAAGAAAAGAGTATAGCCTAAATTTTGTCCTGCAAAATAGTTTATCTGTCTAAAGGGAAATATCTGTCTCTGCTTGAAGGTAATAGCTGGGAACACTGTTCTGGACCTGTGTACCTACTCTAGGTCAGTGACGGGAAGCAGGGCTTTTAACCAGCATGATATGGATTAGAGCCCTCTTGGGCTTTTGAGGACTTGAGTCCAAATGCCTCCTCTTCTAGAGAAAAGCTAGGTCAATTTCTGTTTTCTTGCAGAAGAGTATTTCACTAGACTGTTGGATAGATTTCACAATGTAGTTATTTTCTTAGGAATGCTTTGATGCTTAATTGCTAAGGCTAAAGCATGATGAGCAGGTTAAGTAGCATCCGCAGAGATTAACGTGATAGTTTACACCTTAGAGCTATTGTGTCAGGCTTTCTTGGTTACATGTGAACTCTTTCTGAAATATACAGATATTCTCCCCTCTAGTATGTATGATTCATTTTATAAAAACAAGGGTAAATAATATCCTATACTAAATTAGAAAATAAATGAAAAATCATTTTTTTTATTCAGTTCAGAATTAGTGGTACCTTCCTTCCCTTCATCTCAATTCTGAATTCTTAAGTTTCAACCTTTATTTGAAATCAGAACAGGTAACTCTTGAAGGTTTTCCTGTATAGACTCTAGTTGCGTCACACCAAATTGGAAAGAATTTCTGGAGAGATTCTTCTGCAAAAATGTTGTGTCCCTCATAAACGTGTGTTCTGCTTTTGAATTCCTATGACAACTTTAATGAAACAAAGGTTTTGTTGTACAAAACACAAAACGTTTGGGTTTTTTTAATAACCTAAGACTCATTGCGTTTAGAATCTCGTAAGTCAAAGCCATCATGTTGAGTTATACTTCGTGGGATATATAAGTGTGCTGTATTCAATTAGAGTGGCACCACAAGCAAATAGTCTTCAGTAGTCTTCAGTAGTGGAGGGGATAATCTTCTGATTTTCTTCAGCACAGTGAGTTATAGTAGTACAATTTTGAGTTAGTGACGATGCTAACTATAATGTAATGCCATGTGTCTGAAAGAAGTACTGTGGCTACTATCTGACCTTCTTTACATGGCATGGGTTTCACCAAAACCTTTGTTTGAAACTTGGAATTACTGTTACTCTGTCCTGTGGTTGCTTCTTTCAATCTGTAACCTTAGTTTTAACATTGATCTGTACCAGATCTTCTCTGGTAATCTCTTAGGATTCTGATGGTCTCTGAGGCTACACCTGCTCTAGAAAATCTGAAAGAGGTGTCAAAGAGTCTTCTTGGGTGCTGGACCACAATCATCTGTACTAACAAACTGTTAGAATGTTCTCTGGCATGACTTTGGCATGTGCCATCTAAATTCCTTCCAGAAAATTCCCAAGCATGATTTTGAAGCTGGGAGGTCCCAGGGACCAGTTTGTATCCAGCTGTCACATTGTAGAGGCTAAGAGTCTTTACTGGACTAAACAAGGTCTCTTCCATGCCAGCTGGCTTCAATGCCTAGAGTTTTCCCAGGTCCATTTGATTTAATAGTAGAGATACAGCCTTTGCCATGCTTGGAATGTCCATTTTCTCAGCTTTTCTATTACAAGTATAATTAGGTCCAGTAACAAAACATGTATAAATCTGATTTTCTGTTCTTAGTGCTTAAAATAGTATTGCTTACCTAACCACAGTCGTCAAATATGTTTGGTAGGAGTATCCCATTCTAAACATTGTCACTACGCTTGGCAAATGAAGGGTAAAATTTCCAGAAGATGATATTTTATCTCTTGTATTACCTTGATCTGTTCAGTGTATATACTTTTGAAGCCTATGTATCCTTTGGATTCTGCATGTACTCCTAAACTGATAAACAAGTTAGAACAGAGAAGGTCACCTATAAAAACTCTTGTATTGTGGGAAACTCTTGTAATGTGGGGAGTTTTCAGAAATACTGAATGCTGTGCTGTTGTTGACACTGATAGGAACAGTTGGGGTTAACAGGGCACTTCTAAAATTTCCCCTGCCTGTTTTTGCAAGCTCAATCTAATAAAAATTCATTAAGTATTTCTACCTAGGGTTATATCCAAAATTATTTTTCATCCCCCATCATTTGAATGTTGTTTGATTTAGTCCCTGTTTATTACAAGCTGTCTTCTTCTGAAGGTTCTAAGTATCTCCTGATAACTTGGGATAAATAGGTCATCTGATATATTAAAGTTTCAGTAAGCAGGGGTACATCCATATGGATTTTTGAAGGTAGTGTTTGAATTCTCTGTATTACTTGCAATAGCATCTGATAAATTTGCCCACATTTTAGGTGGTCAGCACTTCTTAAGGCAGAATTTTCTTGACTACATAAATAATAACTTTATGCTCTTCCTGCTGGAGTGGGAATAATAAATATAGTATTGTAGCAGAGAAAGGGAAATATTCTTAGGTAAGCAATAGTTTTTGAACCATACACTAATGCTATCTTTAATAACATTTGACGAAGTGAAGATGGAAATTGAGGTTGGAGGGGAGTATTTTTCACAACTCTGAACTGTCTTTGTGTGAGCATTTGATATTAGCAATTACTTTGCCTTGAGGTTAGTGTTTCATGGGCCATGTCTAATGTGTAACATGAGCCTGGATAATGCTAATATGAGCTACAGGCATCTTCTATTATGCCGCAGTTTTTAGTTGGAAGAGAAAATAACACTTCATGTACCATCATGAATTACTTTTAGATAAATATTTCTTCTGGATTGACTTTACAACATAGACAATGCCATATTATCTGTTTTAAAGATGTGAGCTAAAAGGTAGCAGCGTGGTCCTTTAACTGAGACTTGTGCAAATTCTGATTCCTGGAAAACTGTCATAGGGGCCAGTGGACATTTCCTCAGTGAGGACTTCAAAATGTTTCCTGTAGGGATATAGAGTATATGTAGATCCCAGAAGGCTATTAATGAAGACTTAATTCAGCATGCCCAGTTTCTGATTTTATCCCACTTCGGGTGGTCTTCACGTTTCTCTGGCTCAGACAAGATAGTGACTTGTCATTCATCAGCTTAGCTGTGGTAACTCACTATTTCTGTTCTCTGCTAGATAGCAAAGGCTAAAGTAAAGCTTGTTAGCTGAAATGTCTTTCACTGAGAGCTAGGAGGGGCTGTAGCTGTAATGTGATAATCTGCTGTCGTGTCCTGTTGGAAGACTATTGGAATTGTAGGCACTGTTTTTGGAATTAATGCAGAATGAAATGCTTGAAGCTATTTCTTTCCATCCCGACATTTTACCCACAGTGGTATAGCTTTCCAGGGACATATTTACGTCTTCTCCATTTTGTGGCTGTCAGCAAGGCGGGGGGCATTGGGCAGTACAGCCAGGAAATATATCCCATGTCTGCTAAATAGTCAGCCAATGAAGAACTTGCCCCTGAGGCAGCTGCTAGCACAAGAGGAAGTGTAGAGATCAAAGATAATCCGTAGAGGTCTGGTTGCCATACATGCAAATCAGGTGGTAAAGGTCAGATTCATCAATCATTGCCTGATGTATCAGTGTTGGGGGTTTTCC